GTCTCATGGTTGAGGTATACCTATGATGAAAATTACAAGCCTCTCTCATCTTTTTAAGTGGGAGAACTTGCACAATTGGTGGCTGACTAAATACTTCTTTGCCCCACTGTATCTTGCCAAGAAGTATCTGTGGTCTACTTAATCAAATGCCTTACTAAAATCTAAGCATACTATATCCACAGCATTTCCTTGGTCCATTAATTTAGACACTTTATCAAAGAAGGCAATAAGATTTGTTTAGCATGACCTGTTCTTAACAAACCCATGCTGGCTTCTAGTAATCACCTTGTTCATTTCTAGGTGCTCACAAACCCGCTGCTTGATTGCCTTTTCCAGGATTTTCCCAGGTATTGATGTCAAACTGATTGGTCTATAGTTTCCTGGATCTACTTTTTTTCCCTTTTTAAAAATTGGAACCACATCAGCTCTTTCCAGTCCTCTGGCAGTCTCCCCCATGCTCCAGGAGCTCTCAAAGATTTCATTCAGTGATTCTGAGATCACATCTGCCAGCTCCTTCAGTTTCCTGGGGTGTAAACCATCCAGGCCAGGAGACTTGAACTCATTCAGAGCAGCTAGGTATTCTTCTAAACAATTCCTTACCTATTTTGATCTGCGTTGCTCTTCTGTCTCCCATGGTGCTGCTTTTGATAGGTTGGACTATTTTTTCCTTTTGTGTAAAGACAGATGCCAAAAAGGAATTAAGCAGTTTCACCTTCTCCCTGCTGACCGTCATCTTCTTACCATCTTCTCCCACTAGTGAACCAACCATTTCCTTGACTTTCCTCTTCTTCCTTACATATCAAAGGAAACTTTTTTTGTTATTTTTGGCATTTGTTGCAAGTCTTAGTTCATTCTGAGCCTTAGCCTTCCTGACTCCGTCCTTGCAGATTTTGGGCTATTTGCTGGTATTCTGCTCTAATTACAAGCCCCCTTTTCCATTTTTTATACTTGTCCCTCAGCAAAACACTTCTCTGGCCTGTATTTTTCTTAACAATGTTCAAGGTTGTATTCATCTGAGATGGAGATAGGGATACTGAGGTAGCTGTCAGTTTAGCTGCACTCTAACTGGAAGATCTGTTATTCTGTCTCACTTCCTCCCTGCCTACTTTTTATGTCTCCTGTGTTCTTTTTTATGTCTCCTTTGTTCCTCCACAGCATAGTATATCTGTGCATCTAGAACAAATACATGCATCTGCAGCAAACACAATTTTTGGGTCCTAGTGGTGCCCTCTGCCCATCTAACATCTGAGGCATCAACTTAATTTTGCCTCATGGTAAGGCCAGCCCTGATACCACATTAGCAAGATGCACTAATGAACTCTTTTCTCTTCACTCAAATGAGCTTTACAAAGTGTTCTTACAGCCCAAGTGGTACCACCATCACCAAAGTCTCTGACTTTCATTTGTGCCAGAAAATACTTCTTTCCATGTTTTTTTCTGGATGCTACTACTTCAGTGAAGCATTTTTTTCATACCCTGGACATTAGGCTGTCACATTCTACATTAACCAGATTGCACCCTTTTAAAACAGTCTGCACTTGTTCATTTCTTATTTCAGTTCTAAACAGGGTCCTTTGATTTCTTCTCATGCTTTGCTAAATGGATGACAGCCATTGTTTGCCATGATGAACCAAATGCCAATACATTGTGTTTCTGGTGGCTTTTTTTCTCAAGCAATGAATTCTTTTCAAAAGGTGGAACTTTGTTTAAGAACTGGCATCTGGTCATCTCCTTTCACATTTGCTAGACATCCACTAGATCTCATCAGGATACTCTACAGCTTTTGGAAGGGCTGTGTTGTCCTCAGTGCTATGATAATTATGTACTCAGTAGGTTAGCTTTCTACTCACAAAGACCACAGTGAAGTATAGGTTACTTATTTGTAACTGTGGTCCTTTGAATGTGAATTTGTTCAATGTGGCCATCCTCCCCACTTGGCTTTGATTATAGTTCATTTCAAATTCAATCCACTGTGGTGGTCTTCAGGACTGAAAGAATTGCCAAGGTCTCATCTTCAAACTGTTCATGCAGGAGGCAAGGTGAGAGATCCCCAAATAATCCTAGGATCTGGAACAATCCAAACAGATTTCCATAAGTACCAGCTGCTTGAAAAACCACAGATAAGTAACACTTCATTCAGATATATTCTGAAAGTTACCAGTTTTCATTTAATTGTGCTTGTTTTAGGCAGAGTTCGTATATTGATAGCAACAGATTTGGCTTCCCGTGGACTTGATGTGCAAGATATCACTCATGTCTTTAATTTTGATTTCCCTCGTAACATTGAAGAATATGTTCATAGAGTGGGCCGTACTGGACGAGCTGGGTAAGCCAAACTCTAAATTGCTTCTGTGTTACTACTTAGAAAATACCAGTGTTTTCTTCAGCGTATTCTTACATCTTATGTCAGACCCATTGCAGTATTACATACAGGGAAATGTAGTAGTGTCTCCCCCTGATAGGATATTATCCATCAGCTGAACCGATTCCTCTTTTTCCTCTTAAAAATAATTTATTCCAAAGAGACTCTGGAGGAAATTGCAATGAACTGCAAAACGAGTGGAAAAAGAGAACATATTCCTATATAAGTATACTTTCATATAAATTGGATGTTAATCACTGTTCATAGCTTTTAGGAGAAATACAGCAGACATCCAATTGGGACAATCCACCTTGCTGACTATATGTTAAAAAATTATAGGTGGGATAGAAATCTGATGATGATGAAGATGATGATGATGATGATTGTTAACCCCACTCTTTCCAATATACAGATGATAGTTAAAAATGTAAGTTTACACTTGCTTGATCATTATAGACATCAGGCTGAAAGCAGATACCTCTGCACTGACTTTCCTGCCAGTCAGATTTGTAAGAATACTTTTCTCAGAGTTAAGGGACCCTGCTGTAAGTAGATTGGGCCATGTCAAGAGGGAGCAGAAGAGAAAATGTTAATGTACAAAAAAAAATCATCTGGAGACATTTTATGCTGACTTGTAAAGTTTCTGCTTGCTTTTTAATAAACTCCCTTTTTACCCACTCTATAACTAATCACCCAGAACCCCAAAGACCTAACTGCCAACCTGTGTTCTACAGCTGCTCCATCATTTAATGTCTCCAAAGTACCATTTGCTCCAGAGCTTTCATCTTCATTACCTGCTCAGGCAGAGGTGGCTGAATCTGTCCATTTTGTTTTTTCCTTGTATTTTGAATGTTAATATTCCTATTTAAAAAGTATTGAGGCCTATCTGTGGAATCTATTTTATGTTTAGCAAGACATTGCCTCTTTAACAGTAAGGCACTTTTTTCTTCCTTTTTTTCTGCACAGAATAAATTGTAAAGGTAGCATGCAGATGTTCCTTTCCTGCCATAATCTAGCTTAATTGCTGCTTGAGTAGAAGTCTGTTTTTTTACCACTGGTGCATTTCAGGCATTCAGAGACTAGCAATCAGTTTTTATTGCTTAAGAGTCTAAGGGTACAATATGGATTTAAAAATAAAACATTTTAATAAATTATCAACACAGACCTATAAAAAGGAGTCTCTGATAGAAATATTAAACCCCTTTTTATTGGGAGAAAAGTTTGGATTGATGTTAAGCACTGTCTTCTTTTAAATAAAATCCAGATATGAGCTGTGGTTATTTATTTATTTATTTATCCATTTGTGTCTTTATTTATTTACTTGTGCTTTTACACAGACGCATGGGGGAAGCTGTAACGCTTGTGACTAGGAATGATTGGCGAATTGCATCTGAATTGATTGACATTTTAGAAAGAGGAAACCAGGTAACATCATAACTAAGCTCATTGCTATTTTCTTCCTGTTGTTCTGTTTATGCTTTTACAATATTTGATTAAAATAATAAAATATCAAACATTAAATACACATTTACATTGATTTTTAAACTTTTATTTGAAAAATTTATACTTTAGATCCTCTTACTGCATGTAACTTCAAGTAGCTTAAATAATAATAGAAGCATAAATTAAAGTAATTAAAAAGTTAGTTGATAAACCCAATTATAACAGCAAAGTGTGTTTAAAAGTAAACATTAGAAACCATTAAAGACAATGGAGAACAACATACAGTTTACCTGATATCTTAAATTAACCAGCTATAGATGTGTAGGAAGGGTCCTTCAAAGTATATGCATCCCATGTAAGTATCACTGATTATATAAGGTAAAGATACCCAGAGAAAGATTTCTAAACTGCATCTTACCTGCTAGGCAGGGTCATATAGAACAGAATGAGCAACTGGGGAAGGGAGGGGCAAGGGTTAAAATTTGTAGGGCCATGGTATACATGGGGTGCATAAGGACTTGGAGGGCAGGTTCAGAATGTTCAGAATTTTGAATGATGGGATTTTCTTTTTAATTGAAGTTTATTTCAGAACTTACACTATAATTTTCATGTTTCTTGTTTAAAATGGTAAGAAGAGACTGCATCATCGATTTCTGGTAATTGGATAGAAGTGGTATTGGCAGCTACAAAAAAAGGCTCAGGGTATATCATCATTAATGTAGAATAAATGGTGATTTAGTTATTAAAATCTCAAGCGACTTTATCACTTAATGAATAAAAATCAATATATTAAATTGACCCTAGAAACAAACAGAGCAATGTTTTAATACAGTACAATCTGGCTAAAAATGGCCTAATTAATTGGAAGAGTTATGGAAATTATTGCCTGTATTTCAAATTCCACCAACTTGAAATAATATGAAACATGTTAAAGTAATTATTTAAAAAAAAAATCAACATGAGTTGGTTTCCATTATGCACATCTGAAGATGAGACAATACTGTATATGAAACATTGACATTAATATGTTGCATAAGCATAACGCTAAGGAGCCTATAGAATAATACTCATAGTAGCAAAATCAAAATGTTGATAACTCAGCATCATTTGAGACATCACTACAAAAATGGTATGCAGAACAGTAAGCGTAGCCAAGAAAATAATGAATGTTGCTTAATTATGAGTCTTCTGAACTGCTCTTTGTTTACTCAGACTTCAGATGCACAAGCCAGAATATGGTATTTATAAATCTTAAAGTCAGACATAATTCTGAGTTTGGGAATAAAAAGATTCCTAGTTCCAAATCCCTGATTCCAACAGAGGAAGTTCCAATGGAATTCAAAAGCAAGGATGAATGCTTTTCAGCCTCACAAATCACATGCAGTATTTTTATTCTGTTTAGATGTAGGGCTGCTGGGATGGGATAAAAACACCATTTGCCAATCATAAAATGGGTTTCTCTACTTTTGCCCAACTCCATTCTAAGGCTTAGACATACAATATAAATTGAATCTTGGAATATTTCAGTTGGAAACGTAGAGTTACCTTAATGATTGTACAACTAGAACCAGATTGAAATAGTCAATAATTGCCATTTGTATCAATTTCTACATACCTATCAGAGACAGCCGCACATATAAATATATTACATTCATCTTGCTGCAGCCAAAACTGATGAAAAGTACTATATGTTACAGATGCTACATGATCATCTATCAGCAAGGCTAATGCTAAGAGTACTCATGTTATGAACATGACCTGGCTTCAGAAATCCAAGATACTTGAAACTTCAGTTCTTCTGATACGTTTTACATGTATCTCCCCTTGAAGTAGAGCAAACATTCTAATTGGTACATATGGGAGTTTACCAATTCAGATGAAATCACACCATTTCTCCAACAGCCCCCTTGTGTACCAGTTTGCTTTCAGGCTCAGTGCTGGGTGCTATATTATTTGTTAAAGCCCTACACAGTCACAAAGGTTACTACTACTGGAGTAGACAGAGGAAATGGCCTTGAGAGGCAGGAAGAAGAGCCACTACCAAGACAACAGTCAGATAAAAGAAACCTGAGTCCAGGGCAGATCTGTAACCTGAGAAGATGTCCCAGACAAGACCTCCCTAGTTCTCACAAGATAAAAGACAGGAGGGGGGAGGTGCATCCTGACTTGCAAGATTCTGTCTATAATAAAAGTAGTATAGGCCTGCATGACTTTGTTTCCTGGTCTGATCTACCTTGAAGGGCTGACAACTGCAACGTATCCCCACCCCTCACTACCACCATTAATTTCTAGTAGAAGGGTGTTGGGAACTTTTACTTTAACTCAGAAGGCTTCCTTCGGGTCACACTGCCTTCTGAATTATTGCAAATAAACAATGAGATAGTTTTTTAAGTGGTGCCTAAGTTTTGAAACAGGATACCAAGAAGTCCCAAGTACTTTCCGCCTTATTACTACTTCAGGGAAATGAGGACCTTTTCAGTTCTTGAAAATATTTATGTAGATTTCTTACTTCAAAACTCCTGGTAGCACATACTCATTCAATTAATGCCAAATCTTACTGACCATATAGGTCAAATCTTGTGTCAAATCTTAGTGACCATATAAATAGACCTTCCCCAGAATGATGATAAAGTTTACAGTAGTTATAAAAACATATAATACAGACATGATAAATGGAAAACCTATGTAGGGAATGCAAATCATGGCTATCCAACCTCTTAATAGCAACTGTATTCTGGGTCATGGGATTGGGAAATAAGAGGGCTTATATCAGAAGAGTTGGCAACATTCCAAGCTGCTATTCTCCCATAGGGATATTTTGAGAGAACTTTTTGGACTTTTTTTCAAAGCCTCTGGCCAGATTGGTCCCATTTTCAAACTCAGTCTTTCTTTTGTCACCTTCCGCTGCACCACATTTAACCCTCTCTTGTTCTGTTTTCAGAGTTGTCCTGCTGATGGTCAGTCAGTCAGAGTCCTGAGCCCCATTACATAATTTATTTCCAGCTTTCCATTAGGTGGGAAACAATAATTTTAAAAATTGCATTTTCAAATATCCCCTAATTACATTTAGGCATATCAAAAAGGGGAGGCCGTGCCATAGAGAAAGCCTGTCTCTGCATTGCCACCAACCTGTTCTCTATAGAACAGAGAGCAGGATTTCACCCAAGAACTGCAGGTGTCTTCAGTGTTGATATAATTGAAGGAAGTCTTTAAAAAAACCAGTCATGTTGTTTAGGGTTTTAGATACTTAAATTTAGCTAAGAATATTTATTTTATTATGAATCTGCATAGGAAAGCTATTCTATACCAAATCGAGCTAGCTGAGACTCTTTTGTGTAAATATTTGCTATATTACAGAAGAATAGCTTATAGTCAAAATTTGTTGCTGCTACAAAATATGTGTTAATTTGCTGTTTTGTTATTTTACTGCTAGGTTATATCTATATTGTTTAAATTGTTATAGGCCTTCTTGCAAATTTCAGTATAAAGCTTGTGCACAAACCATTATCAAATATTTTAGTGTTCACTACAAATTGCAGTGTTATAGACTGATTATAGTAACATGAATTTTGTGGTTTAAATGTGTTATTTGCACAAATGGAATTGCTCCATCAGATTTTCTCCTTCTGCCCCTATACCCCTGAATTGTCTCCACAAAATGTCAGAGGAGGAAATTGCTCAAAAATTAAAGGGAACTTAGATAACTGATTTATACTTATGAGTTCAAGTGTCTTTCTCTCATATGGCCAATAAATTCAATACACTCCATGTTCTCCAGGAAGACCTCCTAATTCTCCACAAAATGCTTTTCTTAAGATACAGACAATAAAAAAAGATGAGTTGTTCAAATTGATTTCTGTGTTTGCCGCTACTGAATAGCTCTTGTACATTTAACATACATATTTAAGAGTAAATGGTAAACCCTAATTTAACTTGATGCAAATGAGACTTGTTAAACTTTTAGAAGATTTTTGTAGAATATATATTACAGAAAATGTTTTATAGAATATTTTCATGAAATATTTATAGTTTATAGAAACTGGAAATGTAATTATGACTAATTATTGGTTATCTAAACTTATTAGGTGATTCCTGAAGAACTCATTTCGATGGCTGAAAGATATAAGCAATTCCAGTTGAAAAAGGAAATGGAAAAAGATTTAGGAAGGCCATGGGGGAGACCACGGAAAGGTTTCTAAAAAGTCTGGAAAGATTGATTATAGTTAGTGCCTATGGAAAATTCAGTAGATTGGCTTGTATGCTATTAGGGCAACAAAATAAGTATTAGCCTGGTTTTCTTCAAGGCTTTTCAGTCTTTCTGAAACAGATTACGTTCTATTTGGTACCTGATTTGGAAACAACTTGAGGATGTTTTCTGTGCTGCTTTGAATTCTGTGGATATTAATATGACTATTTTGAAGAAATATGGGAATAAAAACCCTAATGTGACATACCATGGGATTACTTGATCACATCAACCTTCTCATGCAGTTCTAACAATTTCAGAACACTTCAAGCTGGAATATTTCTAGTAAGATGAGAGCAGTTATTTAAAATTAGAATGTTTTTGAGTATTATTTGAGTGTGTTTTTGACTATTATTTGTGTATGCTGTGCACCCTTTTTATTGGGAAGCTGTAGTCATTGATATAGTCCCATTTGTAAATTAATAGTGAATTGATAAAACCTTGATGGTAACATATGTAAAACAGTGTAATTGTTACGAACTTGGTTCAATAGCATTTTGCTTTCTGAATTTTCATTTGTGCAAAACTTTTGAGCTTTAAAAATATTAAAAATGACTTCACTTATCTACAATTGCAGTATTATTTTTCTTGCTAAATAAAAGCCGCATATAAATTGCACATGTAATCTTTATAGTATATCATATACTATAGTATATATAGTATATATATATAGTATATAATACATACAGTGGGGCAAAAAAGTATTTAATCAGCCACCAATTGTGCAAGTTCTCCCACTTAAAAAGATGAGAGAGGCCTGTAATTTTCATCATAGGTATACCTCAACTATGAGAGACAAAATGAGAAAAAAAATCCAGAAAATCACATTGTCTGATTTTTAAAGAATTTATTTGCAAATCATGGTGGAAAATAAGTATTTGGTCAATATCAAAAGTTCATCTCAATACTTTGTTATATATCCTTTGTTGGCAATGACAGAGGTCAAACGTTTTCTGTAAGTCTTCACAAGGTTTTCACACACTGTTGCTGGTATTTTGGCCCATTCCTCCATGCAGATCTCCTCTAGAGCAGTGATGTCACCATGATTTGCAAATAAATTCTTTAAAAATCAGACAATGTGATTTTCTGGATTTTTTTTCTCATTTTGTCTCTCATAGTTGAGGTATACCTATGATGAAAATTACAGGCCTCTCTCATCTTTTTAAGTGGGAGAACTTGCACAATTGGTGGCTGATTAAATACTTTTTTGCCCCACTGTATGATCTTTCACAGGATTATTGCCAAGAAGTAGGCACCATGATTTGCAAATAAATTCTTTAAAAATCAGACAATGTGATTTTCTGGATTTTTTTTCTCATTTTGTCTCTCATAGTTGAGGTATACCTATGATGAAAATTACAGGCCTCTCTCATCTTTTTAAGTGGGAGAACTTGCACAATTGGTGGCTGATTAAATACTTTTTTGCCCCACTGTATGATCTTTCACAGGATTATTGCCAAGAAGTAGGCACCATGATTTGCAAATAAATTCTTTAAAAATCAGACAATGTGATTTTCTGGATTTTTTTTCTCATTTTGTCTCTCATAGTTGAGGTATACCTATGATGAAAATTACAGGCCTCTCTCATCTTTTTAAGTGGGAGAACTTGCACAATTGGTGGCTGATTAAATACTTTTTTGCCCCACTGTATGATCTTTCACAGGATTATTGCCAAGAAGTAGGCACCATGATTTGCAAATAAATTCTTTAAAAATCAGACAATGTGATTTTCTGGATTTTTTTTCTCATTTTGTCTCTCATAGTTGAGGTATACCTATGATGAAAATTACAGGCCTCTCTCATCTTTTTAAGTGGGAGAACTTGCACAATTGGTGGCTGACTAAATACTTTTTTGCCCCACTGTATGATCTTTCACAGGATTATTGCCAAGAAGTAGGTAGGTTATTATAAAGTCAAATGTTTTATAAAATATTTAAATAATTAAAACCATTTAAAACAGTTTAGTTAAAAGGCAGTCTTACCCCAGCGATTTGCAATCTCCCCTCCTGGCTTCCCCTTTGACTTTCTTGGGAAGCCAGCATGGAAGGTTGCAAATGGTGATTGTGTGATCATGGTGTGCTTAGCAACCGGTCATAAGTGTGAACGGGTTGCCAAGCATCCAGATCACAATCATGTGACTGTGGGGGTGCTGGGAGCCAGAACTCTGAGGACCCATAAGCACCGTTCATTCAGTGCTGTTGTAACTTCAAACAGTCACTGAACGAATGGTCATAAGTCGAGGACTACCTCTAAGTTAATGGAATGACTTTCAATTTGGAACACACAGAATTTTAGCAGCCTTCCTGATGCTTTGGGAATCTCTGAGTTGTAGAATAAAAGTAAAGTGTTAACCACAAAAGAAGTACTTCTTGGAAAGATAGATACCTGGGATCCTGATGATATTAAAATGCAGATAGATCATCTGAAAAGGCACTGAGTTTAGTTTTCATAAGGCTGAATGTTCTGATGCAGATCACTGCAAAATTGTGAGTATGAGGTTGGATTAAAAGCTGTTTACAAGTCAATATATGGTTTGTCTCCACTTGCCCTTAACCACAGAATAATTGACAACAGCAATTTCCTTCCTTATTCCAATGACAGTCTTTGTGCCCTGACCATGTCACATGTGAGTCAGGCCTATATTATTATTATCTGGACTATTATAAATGTAGTACATTTTCTCTTATTCTAACACTATCCAAGGGCAGATCTAAGTGTGTAAAATCTGTTACACTTTGCCACCCATTGTCTTGAAGGTAGTCAAGTGATCAAGGGTGGATATGATTGGAGGTGTATTTTGGGAATGTTGAGAAGTGTGGGCCCACACCTCTGATCACAAGCCAGCCCCCCCACCCCTTCAGCTATTTCTCCCTTAACCTTTGCCTTCTGCATTATAACTTCATTTCCTGAATCCCTTTCAGACCAATCAGCACCCCCAGTTCTACTTTTTACATTGAGTTCTCTCCAGGCTTCCAGCAAGGTAAGACGACAAGATAGGCTTCCACAATTTCATATGGGGAAAAAAGAAAGGAATATGTTTATTTGCCAGTTTGCTTATTTGTGAGTGTCAGTTGTTGTCTCCCCTAAAATAAAAGGTGGTTGCTCAGCACACAGCTAATACATTTCAGTCATCCAGCTCTTCAGGACCTAGCTAGTTGCACAATTATGGGACAGTCTACCTCCCACATCTGTGACCCCATTTCTCCTTGGATGTCTTCACATTATTTTACAGTAACATGGGGGATGGCTACACGGGGTTAGTGAGGAAGGGCAAAATAGCTAGCCTAGAAAAGCTGACAGTGTTCTCAAGTCAGGTCCACCCCGTTCCTGCTGCAGTGTGCTGATTAGTGCATATTTGCCCTGCAAACTCGTGTCATGCTGAAGGGGAAAAGCACAAAGTCAGAGGAGCAAATTTGTTTCATAGGAGTGACAATCATCCAGACCAACAGCAAAGTTAAAACAGGCATTACTTTGTGCTGATTCATGGATGGGTGGATAACACTTTAATTCAGTGTTTGGGAAAGACCCTTTAACTCATTGTCTCATCCATCAGAAAACCTGCTCAATCCATTCTTTCATGCTTATAGAAACAATGAATTTCTTTGTCTGCAATAGGAAAAGATTATTGTTTTTTGTGGGGGGTGGTTCCAATAGTATATACTGTATAGTACATGCTGAGAACCACATGCTGTGGTTAGGCTTGCCTGTAATGCAGCAAGCAAAAGCACAAAACTGAAGAAGAAAAAAAAGTACTGTGGTACCTTTCTGCACTTATTATATACATGACAATAACAATAATGTCTAGTTCCACATATTAAAGGCTTGAGATTTCCTTGTTTTTAACTTAGTTTAATTATGAGAATCCAGCCACTGTGGCTTCTATGCCTTGGTTTATGGGTTAGTATTATGTGAATCCAGCTATTGTGACTTATGTGGCAAACCATAGTTAAAATAAACCATGGCTGATTATGAATTACTTATTCTATTACTTATGGCCTAAATTTTCAATAATAGGTATGATAAATCTCAGGTCTCGGATTTGTCCAGTCATTGAAAAGACACCACCACCCTCCCAACCACCTGGGACTCCTGCTGCTTCTCACTGAATGACCCGCGCGTCTTGAGATTACAACAGCAACAGGGACTGCTGAAATTGCCGTTGCTAAGTGATGCGGTCACATGACACCACACTTAACAACTGCATCACTTAGCGAAGGCAATCCCAGTCCCAATTGCTGTCGTAAACCAAGGACTATCTGTACTTGCTGAATGCACTGCAAAGCTTTTTCTTTAGCTCATCTTAATATTTTATCCTCTGAAATTTTAGAGGGAAGGTATAATATTCCTTTTGTAGAGTGAACCTACCCCTGCAATCTAGCCCACATATTCCTTCTGTGTCCTTTCTACAGCAGTTTGCACCCTACCTTTATAACTTGCTAATTTCACTTATTCTGAGGGCAACTTTATTAGCTTCCTACTGTTAGACTGGAACTGGAACAACATTTCTAGGAGAGTCACAAAAATGTCTTTCAGCTGCTACTGCTTTATATAGGAAATCAGTCTTTGAATCTTTAAGATCCCACCAATATACAGTTTAATTTGCACCTTACCAGTCACTGACCCTAAAAGTGTTATAGACATCCATATGTGCACATACATACTCAGCAGCGTAGCAATAAGCAGGCTTTTTAATACTTCGTTCATAAAATAGTTTTATAATCCTGCTACAGTATTAGTTTTTAATAATCACGGTTTCTTTTAGTAATGTTTAAAATTAGTATTCTATTATTTGCTTTTATAGCATTATAGTGAGCTATTCCTTTTATTGATTTTAGAAACCATTATGCTTTTTAATTTGAATCTTGTAACCTTTTATAATAATTGTACAAAATGCTGATCAGTGATTGTAACAATAAATAATTATATTTTACATTTTTAGTGGTATGGAAATAG